ATTTGACCAGCATGTCGTCGATGTATACCTCCATCGTCTTTCCGAATTGTTCTTTTAATATTTTCATCACCAGTCTTTGGTTAGTTGCCCTCGCATTCTTCAGTCCGAAAAGCATGACCCTGTAGCAGTACGTCCCCTGGTGGATGATGAAAGTGGTCTTTTCCTGGTCCGCTTCCTCCATAAGGATCTGGTTGTAGCCCGAGTAGGCGGCCAGGAAACTCAACAACTCATGTCCGATTGTCGCATCGATGAGTTGGTCGATATGAGGTAGTGGAAACGAATCCTTGGGGCAAGCTTTGTTTAGGTCGGTGAAATCCACGCACATCCGCCACTTGCTATTTTTCTTTTTTACCATGACCATGTTGGCAACTCATTGGGGGTATTTCGACTCTCTGATATATCCATTTTCCAATAATTTTTTCACTTCTTCACGCACCGCGTCATTGATTGCATATCTCTTTTGGGATAGAGTGGATCAACGTTCAATTTGTTTGTGGCGATCTCTTTTGGGATACCTGGCATATCTGCATGGCTAAAAGCAAACATGTCCGCGTTAGCAATTAAGAATTTGCAAAACTTACATGGCTCTTGGAGTTTGCAGCTGATGTAAGCTTTCTTGCTGAGATCGTCGACATCTAGTTGAACGGGGTCGAGGTTCTCTATAGTCGATCTTGCGGCCTCGACCACATCGGGGTCTTTGATGAAGTCTTTGATGTCGTTGTCTACCGACCTTGACCCTGTTGATTGCTATGCTTCCTTCTCTTTGTCTTTCATTTGTTGAGTGGTCGTGCAGTCTAGGGCAATGCAGTAGCATTTTTGAGATGTACGTTGTTCCCCGTGTATGCTGAATATCCCCAGGAGTTGGAAATGTGATGATTTGGTACAAGCTGGAGGGTATAACTCTCATGGTGTGTATCCACGGTCGCCCTATTATAGCATTATATGTCGTGTCCTGATCTATGATATGGAATGTGGTCTCCAGAGTGATGCCACCAGCCAGGACAGAGAGTATGATCTCGCCAGATGTTTGTTCAACTGCAATGTTAAAACCCGTTAGTGTGATGCAGCGTGGTACTATCTTGTCCTCGAGTTTCATTTGTGTGAGTACTCGGGGATGGATAACACACGCACCGCTTCCGTCATCTACCATAATCCGTCTTACGTCGATATCTAAAATTCGTAAAGTAATAACATGAGCGTCATAGTGGGGGAATGCCAAACCGTTGGTATCTGACTTATCGAAGATGATACTTTCTTCGAGTTCGTCATACCGTTCGTGGGTGATCGACCATTTGAGCTTGTGGGTCGTGGTGAACTTTACGTTATTGATGGAAGCATCATCTTCATCATCGATGATCATGTGGATGGTGCGGGCTGGTGATGGTGGCTTCGGCGGTCCTTGATGTTGTTCACGCCTCCTGGCAAAGTTGGTTCTTCCCCCAGCTCAGCAGTTCTTTGAGGTGCCCCTGTCGCAGCATATTTATGACCTCCTGTCTTAAGGCGATACAGTCTTCGGTTTTGTGTCCTCGCTCTTGATGGAACTCGAAGATGGCGTCTGATATTTTGGAATTCGGGTCTGACCTCATCTTTTTCTGCCACTTCACCTTTGATCCGAGCTTTTTCAGGGCGTAGACGATCTCTATAAGTGACACGCAAAAGTTGTGAGCAGATCATAAATGGGGCATACCTCTTTCATTCCGGTGAGTCCCTGTTCTTGACCGGAGTAGGCCTTCTTCATGGCGGGGTGGGGGTATAGCGGTAGTTCTGACATATGGGAGATATCGGTCCTGGTTTTACCGTGAGGTTGCCGGATCTCTTTTAATATCACTTCTCCGATCTTTTCTGGATTCTGCTTGTACTGAGGTTAGTCAATGACTTGGCCCATTGAGGTCGTCTTCATCTGCTCGAACTTCGGCACAGTATGCATTATGTATTTCGTTCCAAGTTGTTGGGGAGTATTTCATAAGCCGGCTCAATAATTTTCTTGTCGCTCCCGAATAATTTCTGTTTAGTCCGTTTTGAAAAGCGGCCACCGCCATTCCTTCTGATACATTAGGCAAAGTCATTCTCACTCGGTTGAAATGGGCAAGGAAATCCCTAAGTCTTTTTCCCGGTGACTGTTTGATAGCAAAGATATCATTCACTCTCGCTTCTGCCTTTTTGGCTCCGGCGGTCGTCACGAATTTATCGGCCATTGCTTCAAAGGTTTCGATGGAACGGACTGGTAGTTGCGAGTACCTCTCGTGAGGGTTTTGCCGAACTTCTTTAGCAGAACGGAGGATACTTGTCCCTTTGTAAGGTCGTTGCCTTTTACGGTGGTGACGTAGTGGGTCACATGATTCTCGGGGTCGGTAATGCCGTCATATATTTTCAAGTAGGGCAGCATTTTGAAAGTCTTCGGTATGGCATGCAGGGCAGCGCCGTCGCTGTACGGCTGCTCGACAAACAGACCTGCATCTCTCTTCGGCAATAACTTAGGAGCGCCCGATATTTTATTGACCCTTTCCCGGTGCTCACTCATTTGGTCCTGCAGTGCCTTGTTCTCATTTTTCATTTCTTCCATCCTTTTCAGAATGGTTGTGAGGGCGTCATTGTCTGCACTATTAACAACATTGTAAGTGATACATGTCATTGCGGGTGGGGGGCGAGTTGATCATGTTGCTCGTTCTCTGGTGGCGTAGCACATGTTCTCGCAGTTGTTGCAGCCACGCCCTGAACGGGCTTATGGAGGACGCTGGTCAGTGTATCAGTTAACCAGGCCTCAAGGAGCTTCTCTATCACTGGCGGTGCCTCCTCTTCCATGGATGTGGAGGCTGTCTTGCCAAGGGATTTCGTGATGCTGCAGTAGGGAGGGGGTGATCCATCTCGCCTAGGAGAGGCATTGGGCGTTGTGTCCTCGTCCACTGCTTCTGAGCTCTCGTGGATGATGTCCATGAGGTTGGTTGGGAGGTCACTCATAAATCTTGCTCTTGCTTCTTTGTTACCTGCCATGTTAGATCTATGCAAGTGGAGAGAAAAATGTTTTTTTTCTTTTTTTTCTTTTACTTCAGCAATCAGTGCCGGTTGTAGATCTAGAAGAAACTAAAAAACTTAGCTAGAAGATCCCCCACATACGACGCCAAATTATTTAACCAAGAAATATAATCTCCGATTAAACTATTAAATTTATATAATGAAGGGTCAAATCTAGTTAAGGATAATGACTCTAGATAATAAGCATAAGGATGCACGATAGATGAGACCGAGTTCGCATATGATTGATGATAATAAATATGAAACACTCTTGCAACAAGAACATTAAATGAGATATATCTAGCAATAAATGTTAATAAATGGTATTTATGTAAATAAAAAAAAAATTACCCGATAATGAATGGACAAGGTGAATATTCTGCCTGACAACGATGAATGACAAGTAGATCCAAGATTTGCATGAACAATCCTTGGATATGGTGGAAAAGTGGGGAATAATATGAACGAGAATCTTTATAAAAAGGTAGCCTTTGTGTTTTTATCCGAAAGGGAGTCTTCTTCTCAAAAGTGCTCTTATCAGAGAAATATTATATGCCCTTATTATTGTCTCTTCTTTTTATATATATGAGCCCATTTTCTTAGAAAACCCTAATAGTACAACCACCGGGAATATTTACTAGAATATTTCCCTTTTTGATACCCTATTGACAAATTAGCCGTTACAAGTCTCGACCCTTGTTGACATTTTGACTGCGATCTCTATTGATATCTCGACCATGGCTTATATCGACACCACAACCATTAATCTCACTATGGCTTAGGTGAGCTCAAACGAAGACCTTCATTAATGCCATTCTATGCTAAATAATCCAAGGGCAGATTTTTAAGCTATACAGCTAGCTACCACTTTTTTTTCTCACAGTCTCTAAGGTTCTTTTGTTTTCCCTCCTCCTTTTCACAATAAGAAAACAAAAAGAAGTAACGTATGGTTCGGATAAAACATTACCACGTAACCATATTTTCAAAAAAGTTTTCAAGCTCGGGTCGAGATAGACCATAGAATTTTAGGACAAAATTACTACTCCCTCCGTTCATTTTTACTTGGCACGTTTTGACTTTTCATGCAACTTAAGAAATAATAAATGAACTGCATAATTTATCATGATATCCATATTAATTGATGCATATTTTATTGGATTTGAAAAAATAATTTGAAATGAGTAATAAATACTGTGGGTATAACAGGAAAAAAAAAATTGTCTTCTCTTGATATGCGTAAAGTGACAAGTAAAAATGAAAATCTATTTTTAGTATACATGTCAAGTAAACTATGCAACTTTCGTCTATTGTAGTTTAGTTCGAGAGCATTATTATATGCAGATTACGAGATAACCATTGTAACACAATGTCATAATAATAAATGGATTATATCAGTGAGCTTATATTTGTTTAGGATGATTTTAAGAAGAAAAAAACAAATGTCATACATTAAAATGTAAGAAAGATCGGTAAATAAAATTTGCATTTCTCTTTTCAGTATGAACTATGAATTGCATATTTTAAAGCTTTGGGATAACTTTAACATTTACTATATAGATATTACTGGAAATAGACGAGGAATGTAAGATACTAGCTAAATAATCTGGAGTATAAAAACATTACAGCCATGTTATGTGGTTCTTATAAAACTATTGTTAATATAGACTGTTATTACACATTGCTTTTGGCATAATTAATCTAAAAAATATTATAGCATAACTTATACGGGATTAGCGTTACCAAAAAAAAAAAAGGACAAGTAAACATTCACCAGTTGATATTATATTCAAAATATATATCACGGGGCAACCGGACTAATATTTTCTTAAGTCGCATGATTTTAATTTAAGAAAACCATAAATGCCTAAATGAGAAGAGAATTCCAAATAATACTTTCTTTATTCGTCGCCGTTGAAATGTTCAAACAACTGGTTCAATGCGTCAAATCAGAAGCTTCCCACAATTTAAACCGTGAAGATGGCGGCGAGAGTTAATTTGAATTCTTGTCCCTTTGTCTCATACGCCGCCGTGCTGGGAGTTTTCTGCTGACTCTTCTTTTTTTTCCATCCGTTGACTCCTATTTTCTTTTACCTTTCCACTGTCGCACTCAAACTTTAGACTCCATTCTCATCTTTTCCATTTTTCCCCCAACTTTTAAACTCCCCTTCACCTCCTACTTAATTAGATCCAAGTTTCAATCTTTTTTGTTCTAGATTCTTATTAAAGTTTCCACGAGGCAATTAAAAGAGTTGTGCAGAAATGGGAAGTGGAAAATTAGGTGAATCAGGTATGATTGCGCTCACCGCAAAAATCATGATGGCGGTAATCATATTCCTTTTCCTCGTAGTTGTTTTCATATTCTTTCTCCACTTATACGCCAAATGGTTCTGGGGGTACCGGCAAGAAGACAACGGCAATCCGAACGCCGGCACAAGGCGGCAGCGCCGTCGACGTTTCGACTTTGGTGGCGGTTATCAAGAAGTGAATGTACTCCGCAGCGGACTTGACCCTTCCATACTTAAAACCATTCCTGTAGTTCCGTTTAATATCAAGGATTTTAAAGACGGATTGGAATGTTCGGTTTGTCTTAGCGAAGTCTCTGAGGGTGAAAATACGAGAGTTTTGCCAAAATGCAAGCATGGGTTTCATGTTGATTGTATTGATATGTGGTTTCATTCTCATTCCACGTGTCCTCTTTGCCGAAACCCTGTTTCAGAACAGTCTGCAGAATCAATTTCCCAGACCGTTGGGCCATCGGTAGAAGAGGGTTCAGCTTCTACAGAGACACAAAATATTCCTACTAATGTTCTGTTTTGGGGAAATGAGACTAGTACTACATCCTCAGCATCTACGAGCAATAGACCAGATGGGATTTTGGTGATTGATATTCCAAGACAGAATACAGAACAAGAAGAAGAGGAAGGACAAAAGACACCAACGTCAACACGATTGAGATCATTAACAAGGCTTTTTAGCAGGGTAAATCCTTACAACGTAGATGTAGAACAAGGAAGCAGGGGCCAGAGCTAGGATGGTTGATTGATCTATTGCATTCCACTGGTAAAACATTTTGGTAATTTCTGGCACTGATGCTCGAATTTGGAGATACGATCAATATAGCTTATCCTAAATTACTTGGCATTGAGGCGTAAAACTATCATTTACTAGGTTTAGGTTTATTGATTGATTGATTCTTAGTGCAGATGAAAAGGTTGTCTGCAATCTTTAGATGTATATGTATATGTATATGTGTATATATTGTATATGTATAATACACAATGCAAGCGCCAATGTGCTTCTCTGTTTGAGACTTGAAGTGAATCTATCTTCTCGTGTTAGGAAAAAAGATCAATACGAGGATTGATGTACATGTTTTGTTTCGTTTTATGTGATATATTTGATCAGACAAAGTTACTTAAAAAGAACATGTTATGATGTTTTTGTGACTTTAATAGCATGTCATTAAAAGTAAGTGAGAAATTTTAAATTGATTGTTTCTAAATAAAAAAAATTATTATTCTTTTTTAGATAGAGTAAAAAGTATGCATATAGAATGTTCATATTTCTAAATTCTAAAATGTATTGCTTTTTAGATAGACTAAAAAGTATACATATAGAATGTTCATACTTCTAAATTCTAATGTATTGCTAAAGTTATTTTTAAAAACCTAAAAAAAGAGACAAATTAGCCTACTACATTACAATCATGTGTGATTATATTTATAGGGAAAATAGAAACCTTGATGTATACGTTATTATTTCATTCAAGCTAAGTCCCTATTATATTTGACAAATTACATTTAACCTTTAATAAAATAGAAACTGTGATTTTACTCCAATCATTATAGCAAATAGTACATTTACTTGTACAAAGACAATTTAGGTCATCTAAGTTAAAAAAGATGGGGAGTTCTGGGAGGGAGGAAGCCGAGGGTCTATCAGAAACAGTCCCTCTACCCCAAGGTAGGGGTAAGGTATGCGTACACATTACCCTCCCCGGACCCCACCAGTGAGATTATACTGGGTTATTGTTGTTGTTGTTGTAAGTTAAAAAAGATTCCGTAATTTTTTTTAAAAGGGATATGCATTTTTTAACTTTGTGGGGTCCTATGACCCCTCCCCGCATTTGTTTGAAATGCTATTAATACCACTTTTGAGCTGACATGACACTTGCTCGGGTTTGCACTCACTGAGTGCGCGTGCAAACCCTAAAATATCATGGTTTTTTATTTTTTTTTCATATTTCTCTTTCTTCCCGTCAGCATCTTACAGGGGATTATAAGACTCCGCAGAATTAAATGGTGTGAAATGTCGTTCACTTTTTTGTCCTTTAAAAATAAATTTCACATTAGGCAAAATAGTAATTTAATTATTCTAACATTTAAGACTTTAAAATTAACTAAAATCTTACATATTAAATAATTACCTTATTTGAATTTTGAACTATTATGTAGGAAATCCTAATGTTTAGAACTTAAATATCAATACAATTTTACCCTATAGAGCTATAAGATAAATATAGTAATTAAAAAATATATAAAACCTAACCTAGAAGCTTCAGATAATCTATACTACTTTTTTTGAGGTATGGAATCCAACGGTAAATAAAGAGTTGAAATAATCAAATCAAATTTGACATTGATCTTGTTTATTATAGGTCTTATATGATTTTTTTTCTTTTACTTTTCGGATTATCGTTACATGAATCCATAAAAAAGATTAAGTTGATCAAATATTTTATGTGGAATAGTATGTAAGAAATAATAGTAATTGATATTGAGTGTATTAAAAATAAAGTATATTTCGTTTGTTACTCATTATAAATGTATTAGAGTATCTTTTACCTTCTTCTAATCTTTTCAAGAATATTTTCTCATCTGGTTTTGAATATCTCTCTTATTTTTACTTTACTTTTCTGTAAATTCTTTGGCCCTTATATTGTGTATTACTGGTTTATTTAACAATCTAAGCTTGCTATTAATATTTATAAATTTCAAAAGCTTACATGTTTGATACTAACTGAAACATATTTTCATGATATTTATTATGTAATTTTTAAAAATTTGTATTCAGAGACTAAACGTTTTAAATAACAAAATTTTGTACATTAGATCCTTCCTTGAATTATATAAGTTCTAATACTAAACATCTTGTATGAATAATATTAGTTGGCAGTCCTGCGATTTCTCTTATTCTTAATTATAGATTTATAACTGATCATAAAATTAAAACTAATTAATTTTATATAATTTAATCATCTTAGTAACAATAAAAAATGAAAATATAGAGAATGAATTTTTGCGAAAGATTATGTTTCATTCTCAGGTTATATTCTAATACAAATCCTACTAAATACTATTATTAGGTATAACTTATCTCATATTCATAATTATTATACTTTTTAACTCAACGTCAAATTTAAAATACTATCGAGTGAGACTTAATAATTGCACAAAAGATATGTAAAGTTTAATAATAATTCTATAATTTTGTAAAGTTTAATATTACTGATATAGGTTACACATGCAAAGCGCGTACCCTAAAGCTAGTATACTAAAATTCATATAGATAGTACGTTATATATTTTATAGAAAAATAATATTGGGAAGAGATATTATTTTATTCACGCTTAAGTCCCTGTGATATTTAATTAATACAGCTCGATATTGTCAAACAACTTACAAATCGCATTATTTAATTGTGATTATAACTCTGCATTCACAAAATGCTTCTTACAAATCGTATTCACTAAATGCAACTTAATTTTGTTTACCAAATGCGACTTACAAAAATAAATGTGAGTTACAAATCGCATTCGCTAAATGCAACTTACAATCTCATTTACCAAATGCACCTTACAAATCGCATTTATCAAATGTGATTTTTGAAATGTGTTGTTAAATACAATTTGTAACTTATAAAGAAAAAGGTTAAATGCAATCCCTTAAGTTTGGGTATAGACTCAAAACCAGTGGCGGAGCCACCTTATAGGACACCCCTTCACGGAAAAAATACACTGTGTAGGTAGGTAAAAAAAACTTTATATATATATATATATATTTATATATATATATATATATATATATATATATATACTATGTATTGACTCTCCTTAATTTTCTGATATGTTTACTTTTATATATTTTGATATCCCTTAATAAAAATTCTAGCTTCGCCACTGTTCAAAACCGTCTATCATATATATACATGAACACTAATAGTCCTTGTAGTTTACATAACGTGAGTGCTATGTGCTGTCTGGCTTCGACAATTCATTATAAATCTATTTTACAGCTTACTTAAATATCTTGTTGTGCAAATTTTGTTGGTCTCAGCTATTACTTGTTATAACCTTATGTAGTGGACTTTTATAAGGCATTAACCATTGCACTCTAAGATCGCAATGGATTTAAAGCGGCTGGAGATACCAGCCAAATATTATGTATTTGAGTTTGGACAATATTTGATTGTACGTGAAAAACAGAGTTTGAATTTGAAGTGAAAAAAAAGAACATGTAGAAGTTAGACTTTTGTGAGTGCAAATTATTACTCACTTGAAGTACTATTCACATAAGTTTTTCAATATTTTGCCAGTATTTGCAAATATTGATGGTCAAACTTCAACTTGCAAAATCACTGAAGTATTTTGCCATCCCGAAAGCCTATATAATATATTGCAAGCCTCATTGATGATAAGATTTAGACTTATATTCATTTTTATTGGCAGCCAAACAAGTAGCTTAAGTCAGCTAAATTCAGGTTGGTTCAGGCCTATTTTCTTTATTGGTTGCTCATGTATGTGGTCTTCTACAGGGTATTGAATGATTTGGGGTTTTCTATGTGGGTTTTGAATGATTTAATCTCTTTATAAGGTAAGTAAGTAATCCCTTCGTCTCATATTATCAGTCGTGATTACTAAAAATAGTTGTCTCAAATTATTTATTATTTTAGAAGTTCAAGACAAAATTAATTATTTTTTCTTTTTTTTTTACCCTTAATAATAATTGTTCTTGAAGATGGAGATAACACATAAATAAAATAAATATTCAATGAAGAGAGATTTTATCTTAAAACATAAATAAGGATAAAATAGTCTAATCCCTTTCCTAATTAATATTTTTTAAGGGAGGTATAAAAGAGAAACACGAATTGATAATTTGAGAAATAATTAAGTCCAAGAAGAATTCGTTCACCTTATCACTTAGTTGATCCTTGCCGTATACGATACAGCTGCATTGATTACAACTGTCTATAAAAATGCTGGAAATTGGAAACATATTTGTGGAAAAAACTATTGAGCGTGACACTTTTCAACTATACGTTTTAGCCATGAGTACTCAAAACTTAAGCAGTAGACATGTGATATTGCATATGAATTCTACTTACGAATGTGCTTTGATTTTCCTGATACTTTGTCAAACAAAAATATCCTTTGCACCGCTAAAAAATCACAAACAAACTTCCTAGGTTACGAGGTAAATAGGTCCGTGGGATCGAACATCAGGAGAACTATTCTTAAACTTCTGAAGACAGAGATATGGTATTTCATTGTCCCCTCTGTTCATTGGACTGAAAAAATTTGTGAGGGGCCCTGAAGTGGGCTTTTTGGGCCTGACAGCTATAGCACCCGGCCCACTAATCCCTGTCATTGGACCCGAAACACATCCACGCTTTGGCTTGTTAATGGTGGATCCTTTTAAAGGTTCTCTGTTTCTCTGATTCTTCTTATTCTTCAGCCATGAAAACAGTGATCTTTTCCATGATTTCCTGCAAGTTTCCTTAATATCCTTTTCAAAATTGTTCTTTCCCAATTCCACAGGACGTGGAGGCGTGACACCAAATTTTTTCTCTTCTGATTCATGATTTCTTACTTCTGTCAAGAACTATAAAATTGTGCAAGTCGTAAATCATCAACAAAGAAATAAAGACTTTTTAAACGTGTACCGATATTTATGTGGCTATAAAATAGTGTAATATTGGATAATTAAAAAATATAATCTTAAATTATTTCTAGATATAAAATGATGTTATTATTTTGGAAACTGATTAAAAATAAGAGTATCAAATTAAATAGTATTCCCTCCGGTCCATAACAAGTGACTCTTTTGCTTTTTTTATTTTGGTCCAAAATAAGTGAACTTTTATATAATTAAGAAGGAATTAATTTTATTTTTCCAAAAATTCGCCCTTATTTACATATCCCATTGAGTCAAGTTAACAATATGCAAATTTTAATTATGGATAATTTAGTCAAAATACCTATTTTCTTCTGACAGTTAGTAAAGTCACTTATTTTACTGGTAAGCTTGTCACATGCATACAATTAATATTTCATATATACCATTAGACAATCTAAAAGCATTTCACCCCTATGGAAATTGGTACATATGATGAGGAAAGAAAGAGAATAAAATATGAAATATAATTGCTTTAAACTATATAGAAAGAATAACAATGACTTACATCCGTAAAATCTGATTGAGGATCAAACTCATATCCACAATAGTCCCCAGCTTCATATCTTGGGTATATAGGAAACTTGTTCATGATTTGCATTAGACTTTGAGGAATGCCGGTTTAGCTTCTGCAGTGTGAAGTGAAATTTTTTCAGAAAGCGTTAAAAATCATACCAATAGAGATACATTGTTCATTGCACCCGAATTTCCTAGGTAATTTTGTAGAAAGTAGAGGCTTCCCTAATGTTAGTAGATTCCAAAAGATAAAAGCTATTTTCTTTGATAAAAGGGGGAAAGGCCAGCTAATGCTTTTCCTATATCCCATTAGAGTGCATAAGAAATTATGGCAAAGAATGGTGGTTGGATTAGTTACAGAAAGCTATATCTACCAAAGCAGTGAAAAGAATGGAGCTACACAAGCAGCTGTTTTTTTTATAGTTGAAATGGGTCAACATTGTCATCAGCAGTACACAGACATAAATGAGCTAAATTACAAATCTGAAAAAAACGATATTTAAAAAGATAATGAGTGAAGGGATACCGTTTTCCCAATTCCATAAAATACATACCTAAGAAAGGAGCTTCTTCAAAAAAAACTGTCATTTCTAGCACGTTATTCTTGAGCTTTTCTGGAGTGAAGATTTGGATTCATGAAGAAATTAAGACGTGAATAAAGGCGCAATTTATTTCTCCTAATTAAATACTAGTTAAAGCAAGGAATAAAGGCGCCCTTTTTGTTACGTCAGACTTCTTGTCTCCACTATATACTACTAGTAGAGTGCTAAATTTATTTCTAAATTTTAATAAGATGAGGTATCACATATTATTGAGAGAGAGAGAGATGGAGTTTAAGAAAATGGGAGTTTTTACGGCGCAATTTTAGGAGTTTGGAGCGAGAGATTATTAGTATAATTCTCCAGTGGGCGACAAGGCACGTGAAAAGTGGGTTAGGATAGCATCATCATGCCAGGGATTATGGGTTTCAAGGATAGCATTTTCAACAGTGTTTCCATACCTTAGTGCTGATAAATTTTTAACCCTTTAGAAGTGAAGTATAAGCGATTAACGGAAAAGCAATGATAAAATTATCTCCGTGTCTAGAGTAGACCTACGTCACTCCTAAACCATAGTCCTTCCCCGAATTCATTATAAACGCAAAATGATTTGTACACCAAACTGTCATTCAGTGATGTAGAGGTTGATAGTATTCAGACAACCATTCAAACTTATGGCACTGTGTTGTTTTATCATAACCTAACTAATCGGCAACAGACACGTAGTTGGCTAAGTGATATATTTCTGTGTTCCATAAAAAAAAAAGAAACTCAGATTTTAACGAACAAGTTTAAACCATGCATGGCCTTGTCACGAGTGAGATCCTCACAGAAATAATTGGTTTAGTTAGCAATAAGTTACCCCGCACGGAATAGTTGATCGAACACGCGAACATCAGCACGAGGAAAAGCATTAGTAATGATAGTTTGCTTTTTATGCCACCATTTTCATACTAAACAGATTTGTTGCTGGAAAGAAAGAGTTGAAGCACTTTCACTATGCTTGAATTAGCACGGCTGTCCCTCTTTGCTGGTTAAGGCTCGGCCTTTGACTTTACTTGCTGAAAATGTCAAGTGAATTTTTACCAAGTCTATACAATATACCTCACAAGAGCATACACCCCCTACCATGTTCCTCCCTTCCCCAAAAACGAAGGAAAAAAAAAAACGATAAACCCACATTTCAAAACTACATGGAAAAAGCAAACAATTACCTCCTGCAACTCTGAGCCCTTCATCATAAAACCACATAATGTTATCTCCACTCACGTGCGCAATAGGAAAGAAAAGCACATTAGCTAGATTAAAGATCAGTTTAATCTTGCCCTGCCTATACAATCTCCCATAGGTAAATGAAGGACCTAGACAAGTAAATATCAGGAACCCAGAGCGGGATAACTATATATCTGTGATTTACTGTGCTCTCTTCTTCAGCGTAGTGCACTCGACAAGATTCCATTCATCAAAGCTGAAGCAGAGGCAAGGCCATTACAACACCAAAAATTGAAACTAGCAACAGCAACAACCAAGTAGGGAAAGATTGCCTCTGTCGGTTTTTGACATCTTTTATAGGCTTCACTCTATTCACGTCATCCTTAGTGGAATTACCATGTTCATCCAACAATGGTCTAGACTTTTCTGCTTGAGTTGGCACGGATGATACCTGCTCTGGAACAGGTTGGGCTGGTAGCTGCTGCTGTTCATACTTCTCCACATACTCGGGAAACAATTTCCTAAAGGTTGGGCTATTACAAAAAATAGAGAGTAAGTTACCCCGACCTTATAAAAATGTAATTAAACAAAATGCAGCAGATCTTCAACTGTGGAAACTAAAAAGCTTGAGGCAGTCATCTGAGAGAAATACAACACAACAGTAAGGAACTTGTAGTCAACTCACTTTTTACAATTAAAAGCCAGAGACGTCTTTGCAAGCTTCTCTTTCTCAGCAACTGATGTTGTTACACTGCCTGTGGTAGGACTATTGTCCATCTGCAAGTAATACATTGATAGAACATGAAATTAGCAGCTGCATTACAAAATGCATCATTAACCAAATATATTTTGCGAAAAGAAATGATTCAACATATGCAGCAGATGTTATATAAGCAAGACATCAACTGAATCAGTAAACGATCTGTTCAAGGTAGAGATGGGAGACTTGGTTCATGTTTCTGAATATATTTGGTTTCCACTGGGCCATTCCAGGTGGTCGGAGAGAAGCTATCATCAGCTGGAAGGGTCAAAAGATGGATAAGAAGTGGTGATTTTTATGGCAAAAACCATACAGTTGGGCATCCTCATAGCAATGATGGCACAGGGAGGGTTTGGAATGCACTTCTTGGTAGGAAGACGTAGAGCCACAAGGGGTAATTTCAGAGCAACATCACCAAGTAGCAGAGCTCCCTCCTTTCCCCGTATACAGAGTGAGCTTTAATGGTTAAATTGATCTTACAACTTCAGATTGTTCTCAACCTCTAGCAGTGGTTTTGAAATGAAGAATCTATTCACTAGTACGGCTTCCATGCACACACAGACAGACAGACAGCACTCAATTGTCCAGACACATAAAAAATAAAAATTTGATAAAAGGAAATGCACGAAGCAGTTCAAGCACAACTCAGAATATATATCAACAGATGGAATGAGAACACCAAGGGTCGTTCAAAGCTGCATCAGTTGCGATGAACTTTACCATAAATGAGAGCAGTCCTGTCAGTATGCTGCATGCAATACAGGGAAAAATTAGCCCAAACAAGGAAGAAAGTATTTAGTCCAATTGATAATAAAGGTTCTCATTTTAGTTGTAGAAAAATAAGTAGACATTTTTCGCTACTCTGTTTTGAAAAGAATTCAGAAACATGTTAGATATCATATACTGAGTATAAAAATATTCATAACAAATTAGACACACATGGAGGGAAGTTATTGCAAAAGACAAATATTCTATCGGAAACTGTTTTAACTTAGCGAAAATGGAATAAATGGATGCAAAAGATCCATATAGGACACCAACTAATTGGGATTAAGACATATGGTGCTGGGGTTAGATTAGGTCCACTGTGTGTCAGGAGTTTTTTAATTTGTTAAAAATTTTTATGTTAATAGAAAAATATCAAGAACCTCTAGCGTTGAGAGCCCTTGATTTGTCTAAAAAGACAAACTATAGAGTATTTCTTTTACCAATAAGACAAACTATTGAGTATTGGTATTAAATGTGAGTGCAACTGGTGTCTGACATTTCATGACTACACCTAGTTTGGAATTGAGCATAGTTCTTTTTGTCATAGAAAGCAAGAACAATTTTGGTACGCAAAAAAAAAAAAAAATTCAAGAAAATTTACATAAATTGAGTGGATGGGACAGGGGGAGAGAGAGGGCAAGGGTTTAAGCTAAGGTGGAGGAAAAGGGAAGGCCTGGACGACCGTGGATAGGGCATCTTTTAGGGTGAGTCTGGACAGCACTGAGGCTCAGGTGGCAGGGAGAGACTGAGTAGTGGTCCAGAAAAAGAAAATGTTTCATAAGAGAAAACTCAAAACACATCTAACCTTTTAGTTTAGGAAATGATATTTTCTTTTGAAAATTACAAGAAAGATTTGTTTTCCCTTGTCATTGCAGAAACAAAAAGAGACAAGTTTCTTGTTACCAAACAGGCACTAAAGAAACTATTGCCCTATAAATAAGCATTATGGCATTGTTGATAGCTCATACCTTGAAACGGACCACATTGGATTCCAACTCTCTGGGTGGACTGTGAAGCAATATGGAGATCAGAAGTTAAGAACAGATAAAGATCATCTCAAAGCAACAGAGAACTGTGGCTACCATGAAATTCTAAAAGCACTTACAGTCACTCATAGATAAGCAGATTTTCTTTTGTGTCATGAATCTTCCGTTTGGAGTAGTCATACTACAGAAGAAGAAAACATACATGATGTACAAATCAGCAGGAACCAAACCCTCAAACGCATGGAGACAACCTAGCTTGCAAAGATGAAACAAGACGGGGATTTTCAAACTCATCTGAATTAGATTACCTGATTCCTGGGGGTTTAAACGGATATTCTGGAGGAAACTTGATCTTCCCATAATAATATCCACCTAATGATAGGAGATGGTATCATTTCATGAACAACAACAACAACAAAAGGAGCATAGTTCCGGCAAATGAAAAATATTCAATGATGACAATAAAAAATTCCAACAAGATGGATAGGAGGAACAAGAGTGCCATCACCCAATAGGCCAACAATATTAGCTAACCATATAATACGAATACTGACCTGCAAATGGTGTTCCTTCACTCCCCTCCAAAACATAATCTGGACACACAAATTTAGGTATAAGTGGGAACCTTAGGAATATCCAAGCAACCAAATGATGAGTTAATTGATAAAGTGAAGCCAAAGGGAAAAAAAGGAAAACAGAAGGTGAGCCCTCCCAGCAAATAAGCCTATTCAGCTATATTTATTAGGAAAAAAGCATCATTGTTATGTCTCAATTCAATTCCAACATTGACTACAAGAATATGAGCAGAAGTAGGACTCACGCCACTCAAGAATATCATTCGGAGAAGGTCGGGCGACAACATGGGAGACAGGTTCCTGCAATGGAGCATGATCATGACATCAGAGCACTGTAGAACATACTCAAATGTGCAGTGTGTAGAGTAGTCTAGCCACAACAGGTATAAGGGGGTGTCATCGAGTATCATTTGGTCCATTAAGTAAGACTCTCACCAAGATATGACAAGAATTTAAGAATACAAGTGCCATACTTTCAGAGCCAGCAATGGTGTGGAGACAAGCAAAGAATCCATCATCCATAATTAACAAATATTATGGCTAATGACTTCAATGCAGTACTATCCACAAAGTAAATATAAGTATTTAGAACATTCCTGATGATTTGAGGAGTATTTAGAACAATGCGGTAGCTTTGCACTTTAGAAGCAATTTCTTTGTTCAATTAATAGGAAATTGGTGGAAGAAGTAAATAACTTTAGACTGATGAAAATTATGAGGTAAAGATTCAAATGTAGAACAATTACCAGCAGCAAAAAGATTACGTACTTTACAAAGTGCTCTATATTCCTTCTGAAGGCGCTTTACACATGCTTTTTCTGCCATGTTTTAGCTTCAGAATATGTAGAAACTGAGTGATAATGGTGCAATCCTTCCCTTATTCTTTTGACCACCAAAGAAATGCTACAACCTGTAAACATATGAGATGCTTAATAAACCCAAGAATTTCAAAGTGATGAAACATAGAATTTTTAGGCCATACATTTCCAGGTAGACGCG